GTGTCCATTCCCACGTGAATCGGCCGATAGAGTTAACTCCTTCTTTATCAATGCTGGCAAAATCCTTGCTGAAAAATTTGACCAGACGACAGCTATCTCAACCCATGCTACTTCTGCGGTTTCAAGTCCTAATTTAATAGAAAACTCTTTCGTTCTTTTAAATACAGACGAAGAAGAAGTTGAACGGATTATCATTGCTTTAAAATCAGATAAAGCTGTTGGATGGGATGGTATCTCCACTGGTCTTCTGAAAAAGTACAAAGACATCCTAGTGCCTCCTCTGACATTTATTATCAACTTGTGTTTGACGGCAGATGTTTTTCCAAGCGTGCTGAAAAAAGCTGTGGTTCATCCAATTTACAAAAATGACGATCAAAGTCTACCTAATAATTATCGTCCTATATCAATAGTGCCGTCAATCTCTAAGGTTTTTGAAAAAATCATAAACTCTAGACTAGTGAACTACCTTGAGCAAAAGAATTTATTATCAAATGTCCAGTTCGGTTTTCGTGCAAAAAAAATCAACATCAGATGCTTTACTTTCGGTTACCAACTACATTACGCAAAACTTAGATAGGGGTAGAAAGAGTTTAGCCATCTTTCTCGATCTAGAGAAAGCTTTTGACACCATTTCGATTCCACTGTTGCTCCAAAAGCTTGAGGATATTGGCGTGCGAGGTTGTCAACTTACATTATTTTCTAGCTATCTCAGTGGCCGATGTCAGTGTGTCAAGTTGTCTAATAGTGTCATCAGCTCTGATTCTCCTGTCTTTTTTTGGTGTTCCTCAGGGCAGTATACTTGGTCCGACCCTATTCTTCATTTTTATTAATGATTTGTGTAACCTTAATCTTCACAATGGCAAGATAATTACATTTGCTGATGACACAGCTCTCCTTTTTTCTGGAAGCACCTGGGAGGATGTTTCCGGCAATATCAGGTTGGGTTTAATATGGTGTGTGCTTGGCTTAGGAAGAACTTACTAACTCTAAGTTGTAAGAAAACTAAATATATGCCTTTTGCAATCCGTACCTCATCCTTACCTGGAGACGCGCATAAAATCATTGCTCACTGTTGTGCTAATTCTAACACTTTAGATTGTTCCTGTCCCGTTTTAGAGAAGACTAATAGTATCAAGTATCTTGGCATATTATTTGACAACACCTTAACATTGCGTTCTCATATTAAAACACTATGTGGTAGAGTGCGTAAATTGATTTTTATATTTAAAAAATTAAGACATGTTGCTAATAGAGAAGTCCTAAAATTGGCCTATTATGCTTTGTATCAATCTTTATTAACATACGGAATTGAAGTCTGGGGTGGTGCAGCCAAAACACATATTATTGAACTAGAGCGTGCGCAAAGATCACTTTTAAAAGTTATCCATTTTAAACCCTACTTATATCCAACTTTAGATTTGTATAGAATTAGCGAAGTTCTTACAGTTCGACAACTATTTGTGCTACATATAGTTTTAAGACAACATACAATTTTAAAAATAACTCAAAAGGAACATGGCCGCCGTAATCATCTGGTAGCTCAGTCAGTGCCTTTCTTCACATCTTTTGCTAGGAAATTCTTTACTTTTTGGGTCCGTATTTATATAATAAATTACACCAAAAATTATCTATTTATGAATATCTATTTATGAGTCAACAGATGGTCATGTAAAAATAGACTCGTGGAATATCTTCAGACTCTTTCATACACAGATACTGAACAATTTCTCCAAATTACCTCATAAATATTCACAGACATACACGCAGACATGCTAACAGTCACAAACTCTCATACTTACGCTACAAAATACGTGGTTTTTATATTTTTTTATTATATATTTTTTATTTTTTTCTCTATATAATATTATTTTTAACCATAACATAAGTGATCTCCTTATAATATTATACTTGTTGCCAGGTAAATTCGGGGGGGGGGGGCTGGTGACCTATAATACGGGTCTTTGAACCTACACGGGCATCAGTATCCCATGAATGACAAAATATTGTTAAAATAGAGATGTAACACTAATGTATCTTCCATTTCGTTTGTGGTGAGAAATAAATAAATTATTATTATTATAATTGGGGTATCTATATAATTTTCTCACCTGGTTGGGTTCTATAAATATATAATTATAAATTAAAATGAAAAGATAAATATACATAAATATCAATAAAATAAAATAAATACAAAAACTAAATAAATAAATAAGATCCAACCAGATGGGAGCCCTCGGCAGGGGAGACCAAACGGCCGAGGGTTAGGGGGAAAGGGAAAGAAACCGGCGGACGATGCCGGCGGTATCGAGGAGCACCGTCTTCTGCATTTGAGCCCGGAGCGGTCCGTCACGGAGTCCCAGTAGCCTCAGATGACCCGAGAGGCTGACTGGGATTAGCCCATTCGCAGAGATGACTACAGGAATAATTTCGGTCGGCATACCACCTCATATGTCGGTCACCTAGTGAGCCGGTCCAGATATTTTGTTCGTTTATCTGTTTCGGCTTTCACGAGGTTCTCGTCATACGGAATGGTAATGTCGATCAAAAATATCCTTGACTGTGCCCGGTCCATCAGCACAATATCAGGCTTATTCGCAAGAATAGTCCTGTCTGTGATGATGGCCCGGTCCCAGTAGAGCCTGGCGCGGTCATTTTCGAGCACGGCTTCCGTCAAGTACTTGTAATACGGCAATTTCCGGTCCACGAGACCGTATTTCAGAGCGAGCTCCTGGTGTAGAATTCTGGCTACTAGGTTGTGCCTGTGCAAGTACTCAGATTTAGAAAGCGCCGAACAACCGGAAATGATATGCCTAAGTGACTCCCCGGGATGGCGACAAGCTCGACTTATTATTATTATTTGGAGTATCTATATAGTTTTCTCATCTGGTTGGGTTCTATAAATATATAATTATAAATGAAAATGAAAAGATAAATATACATAAATATCAATAACATAAAATAAATATAAAAGTACATAAATAAATAAAAGCCCAACCAGATGGAGGCCCTCGGCAGGGGAGACCAAACGGCCGAGGGTTAGGGGGAAAGGGAAAGAAACCGGCGGACGATGCGGGCGGTATCGAGGAGCACCGCCTTCTGCATTTGAACCTGGAGCGGTCCGCCACGTAGTCCCAGCCGCCTCAGATGACCCGAGAGGCTGACTGGGATTAGCCCGTTTGCAGAGACGACTACAGGAATAATTTCGGTCGGCAGACCACCCCACATGTCGGTCACCTCGTGAGCCAGGTCCAGATATTTTGTTTGCTTGTCTGTTTCGGCTTTCACGAGGTTCTCGTCATACGGAATGGTAATGTCGACCAAAAATATCCTTGACTGTGCCCGGTCCATCAGCACAATATCAGGCTTATTCGCAAGAATAGTCCTGTATGTGATGATGGCCCGGTCCCAATAGAGCCTGACGCGATCATTTTCGAGCACGGCTTCCGGCAAGTACTTGTAATACGGCAATTTCCGATCCACGAGACCGTATTTCAGAGCGAGCTCCTGGTGTAGAATTCTGGCTACTAGGTTGTGCCTGTGCAAGTACTCAGAGTTAGAAAGCGCCGAACAACCGGAGATAACGTGCCTAAGTGACTCACCAGGATGGCGACAAGCTCGACAGATGTCGACGGTGCCATCCTTTAGGATGTATCTCCGATAGTTGTTGGTCTTAATAACCTGATCCTGTATTGCACAGACAAAACCCTCGGTTTCCCCGAAGAGATCACCAAAGCGTAGCCAGTGGAGGGAGGCTACTGTGTCTACGAAAGGCTCATGTAGAGCCTTGTAGAACCTCCCGTGGAGCTCCTTCTCCTTCCATACGGTCTCCCGGTCGGAAATGCTCTGCACTGCCGGGTCTTGCCATTGCTCGTTGGCTAAGGATAGAGGGGTAAGTCCTTTATCACAAAAAATGACGTCCTTATAGAATGGATCATCCGATCTCGCCAGGAAGTAATCAGGGAGGCTGCACACTTCGCGATTATGCATGGTGAGCGCGCTCAAGAAGCCACGACCACCATGCTTCCGCGGCAAGTACAGCCTCATTACCGACGATCTCGGATGATGCATCCTATGGGACGTCATGGTAGTGCGGACTTTTCTATCCAGGGCGTTAAGTTCAGTCTGAGTCCACCTGAGTATGCCAAAGGTATACATGAGGACAGGCATGACCCAGCCGTTATATGCGTGTGCCTTATTCACACCGGACAAAAGGCTGTTAAGCACTTTGGTCAAGCGTGCATAAAACACGTCGCAAACTGACTGTTTCATACCAGTCTCATCGATACCGATGTTTTGTGACATACCCAGGTATCGGTATGTTTCAGCCTCGAAAAGGGTCCTTAAGTTGACGGGCATAGATAAGTCTACGCCCTCAGAGTTAGCAACCCTTCCCCTTTCAACATTGAGGACCGCACACTTATCCGTCCCAAGCTCCATTCCAATGGAATTGCTAAATTCACAAGTGATGTTTAGCAATTCCATAAGATGGGAGCGACTGGAGGCGAATAACTTGAGGTCATCCATATAGAAAAGGTGGGTCACTTTTGTCCCTCCTTTCCGTAGCTGAAATCCCCTCCCGGAGCCCTCCTGTAAGGTACTGAGAGGGTTCAGAGAGAGGCAGAACCAGATTGGACTCAGACAATCGCCCTGGAAGATACCCCTTCTTATCCTTATGTGGTTCTCCGCAGCCATCATCCGCTCGCCCAGATGACAAAGGATCGTACTTCACTGCCCCATACACTGCTCGAGGAAGTCTCTAACTGTACAGTCTATCTTGTACAGCTCGAGGACTCTCTTTAGCCATGTATGGGGCACCGAGTCGAATGCCTTTCTGTAGTCTATCCAGGCGGCGGAGAAGTTCCGACGGTTGCGTTTCACCACTTTGCCAATGACCGCGTCAATGAGGAGTGGTTCCTTGGTTCCACGACCACCGCCCCGACATCCATTTTGAGCGCGCGACATCACCTGATTTGAGTCCAGGTGACAAGTGATTCTCGCGCTCAAAATGGATGTAAAAATAATAGTGTCTTGTATATGGTCGGTAGACACGTGATGGGGCGGTATTTGCTCGGGTCTGTGGTACCCTGGTCTTTAGGAACCAAATGAGTGATCCCAGTAGTGAAGAGGCTTGGGAGCGACTTCTGGTTGAGAGCCTCTTGAAACTGTCGGGCGAGCACAGAGTGACACACCATGAACCCCTTCAGCCAGTAGTGATGCAGCCCGTCAAGCCCCGGACTTTTCCAGTTCGGGGCCCTACGGACCGCCTCAGCTACGTCATCCGGCGTTATGATGACGGGGTCCATGGGCGTAATACCCGCACACTGACTCGCCACAACTTCCGTCCAAGGGCCCTCGCTGTGGTTTACGGGCTCTGACCACAGGCCGCGCCAGAATGCTACAGTGTCGGCCTGATTCGGTGCTGGACCCGTTCCACTTACCATTGGTCGCTCTAATGATTCATAGAGCCTCTTCTGATCACTCTGAAAGAGACGATTCTGGTTGAACCGTGTCGACCTCTCGGTATATCGCCGAATCCGCTTTCCCCAAGCAGCGATTCTCTGCTTCAGATCATCTATGCGCTCCGTCAGTTTTTGCGTTATATCCGGCTGGGACAAACTGACATTTGTCCCAGCAAACGCCATCCTGACGGTGCGCACAATTCTTGGCCTGTTGTTGCCTGATCTGAAGCATATCAGTCTGCCGATGAGAGCTCTAGCCTTTGCGATACGTTCCTCAATTCTTCTTCTCCATGCTGGGATAGCGCTACTATGGCCAGTAGCGCGTCTAGCCGTGGAAACTTTGGCGCCTATGATACGGCAGGTTGCCAGCGCGGCGCCAAAAAGAATTGAGTCCGTCTCGCAAAGGTCCCGGCTGGCTTCCAAATAGGTCACCAGCATTGGGTTCAGAGCCCTCACGACAGCCCGATTCCGCTTGCTTAGGGCTATGCGGGGAAGTCGCGGTCGATTTTCGAGAGGCGTACTGCGCGTTTCCACAATCGCCTCTTCCAATGTACTCCTCATATGCTCTAATTCCAGTTCCTGGGCGACTGTTCCATCATCGTTTGAATCAACCACAACTGGGGTATTCACGGCGGCATCCACGTTTGCGGGTTGCTCTACCATTTGTGGCGCCGCATCCTCAGCCGTAGCATTCTCATCCGACGAGGGAACAGCCTCACGTCGTAGCCGTTCGAGTTCGGCGACATCAAATATATTTGAGCGCAAGATATACCGAACTCGGTCTGCCAGGTTTTGCTCTGTGACGGTTAAAGATGGCTCCAGCTCAGCAAAAAGACGATGCATCCTAGCCCGATACGCCAAACATCCAGTTTCTTCCCCTTTTTGCCCTAAAGTACGCCCGCAATGCGTTTGCATTCATTGCTTGTGACCAACGCATGCGACGAGCTCCACCAGCGGCGGGTGCCGCTTGCTGAGTCTGAGAAGACCCAGCCGACACCAAGCCTTCTGGTGGGGATGATGGATGCGGAGGGCTGCTAGGTGACCGTGCAGCTCCTCGCGCTCGGCTGGCGACCCGCATGCTGCCGCGTCCAGCGCCAACTCCAGACGCGCCCCCGGCGACCCCCAGGCAGCGGCCCTTTGCGCACTATCTTCTTATCCATCATCCATTATTTGGGCGTCCATTAACGGGAGACGCCCAGGCCCGGCACCGTTTCGTGTGTAGCCATAAGCACAAACGGGCCTCTGCACCCTAAATTCTGCCGAGGCACGGCGCTCACACCTCTCGCAAGGCGCTGACTGACTGCGTTGACGTAGCAGTTTTGTCACTTAACTGTTACGTCAGCGGGCGATGGGGTCGTCAATTCCCTACGCCTATTTATTATTATTATTATTTGGAGTATCTATATAGTTTTCTCATCTGGTTGGGTTCTATAAATATATAATTATAAATGAAAATGAAAAGATAAATATACATAAATATCAATAACATAAAATAAATATAAAAGTACATAAATAAATAAAAGCCCAACCAGATGGAGGCCCTCGGCAGGGGAGACCAAACGGCCGAGGGTTAGGGGGAAAGGGAAAGAAACCGGCGGACGATGCGGGCGGTATCGAGGAGCACCGCCTTCTGCATTTGAACCTGGAGCGGTCCGCCACGTAGTCCCAGCCGCCTCAGATGACCCGAGAGGCTGACTGGGATTAGCCCGTTTGCAGAGACGACTACAGGAATAATTTCGGTCGGCAGACCACCCCACATGTCGGTCACCTCGTGAGCCAGGTCCAGATATTTTGTTTGCTTGTCTGTTTCGGCTTTCACGAGGTTCTCGTCATACGGAATGGTAATGTCGACCAAAAATATCCTTGACAGTGCCCGGTCCATCAGCACAATATCAGGCTTATTCGCAAGAATAGTCCTGTCTGTGATGATGGCCCGGTCCCAATAGAGCCTGGCGCGATCATTTTCGAGCACGGCTTCCGGCAAGTACTTGTAATACGGCAATTTCCGATCCACGAGACCGTATTTCAGAGCGAGCTCCTGGTGTAGAATTCTGGCTACTAGGTTGTGCCTGTGCAAGTACTCAGAGTTAGAAAGCGCCGAACAACCGGAGATAACATGCCTAAGTGACTCACCAGGATGGCGACAAGCTCGACAGATGTCGACGGTGCCATCCTTTAGGATGTATCTCCGATAGTTGTTGGTCTTAATAACCTGATCCTGTATTGCACAGACAAAACCCTCGGTTTCCCCGAAGAGATCACCAAAGCGTAGCCAGTGGAGGGAGGCTACTGTGTCTACGAAAGGCTCATGTAGAGCCTTGTAGAACCTCCCGTGGAGCTCCTTCTCCTTCCATACGGTCTCCCGGTCGGAAATGCTCTGCACTGCCGGGTCTTGCCATTGCTCGTTGGCTAAGGATAGAGGGGTAAGTCCTTTATCACAAGAAATGACGTCCTTATAGAATGGATCATCCGATCTCGCCAGGAAGTAATCACGGAGGCTGCACACTTCGCGATTATGCATGGTGAGCGCGCTCAAGAAGCCACGACCACCATGCTTCCGCGGCAAGTACAGCCTCATTACCGACGATCTCGGATGATGCATCCCATGGGACGTCATGGTAGTGCGGACTTTTCTATCCAGGGCGTTAAGTTCAGTCTGAGTCCACCTGAGTATGCCAAAGGTATACATGAGGACAGGCATGACCCAGCCGTTATATGCGTGTGCCTTATTCACACCGGACAAAAGGCTTTTAAGCACTTTGGTCAAGCGTGCATAAAACACGTCGCAAACTGACTGTTTCATACCAGTCTCATCGATACCGATGTTTTGTGACATACCCAGGTATCGGTATGTTTCAGCCTCGGAAAGGGTCCTTAAGTTGACGGGCATAGATAAGTCTACGCCCTCAGAGTTAGCAACCCTTCCCCTTTCAACATTGAGGACCGCACACTTATCCGTCCCAAGCTCCATTCCAATGGAATTGCTAAATTCACAAGTGATGTTTAGCAATTCCATAAGATGGGAGCGACTGGAGGCGAATAACTTGAGGTCATCCATATAGAAAAGGTGGGTCACTTTTGTCCCTCCTTTCCGTAGCTGAAATCCCCTCCCGGAGCCCTCCAGTAAGGTACTGAGAGGGTTCAGAGAGAGGCAGAACCAGATTGGACTCAGACAATCGCCCTGGAAGATACCCCTTCTTATCCTTATGTGGTTCTCCGCAGCCATCATCCGCTCGCCCAGATGACAAAGGATCGTACTCCACTGCCCCATACACTGCTCGAGGAAGTCTCTAACTGTACAGTCTATCTTGTACAGCTCGAGGACTCTCTTTAGCCATGTATGGGGCACCGAGTCGAATGCCTTTCTGTAGTCTATCCAGGCGGCGGAGAAGTTCCGACGGTTGCGTTTCACCACTTTGCCAATGACCGCGTCAATGAGGAGTGGTTCCTTGGTTCCACGACCACCGCCCCGACATCCATTTTGAGCGCGCGACATCACCTGATTTGAGTCCAGGTGACAAGTGATTCTCGCGCTCAAAATGGATATTAGTGTCTTGTATATGGTCTGTAGACACGTGATGGGGCGGTATTTGCTCGGGTCTGTGGTACCCTGGTCTTTAGGAACCAAATGAATGATCCCAGTAGTGAAGAGGCTTGGTAGCGACTTCTGGTTGAGAGCCTCTTGAAACTGTCGGGCGAGCACAGAGTGACACACCATGAACCCCTTCAGCCAGTAGTGATGCAGCCCGTCAAGCCCCGGACTTTTCCAGTTCGGGGCGCTACGGACCGCCTCAGCTACGTCATCCGGCGTTATGATGACGGGGTCCATGGGCGTAATACCCGCACACTGACTCGCCACAACTTCCGTCCAAGGGCCCTCGCTGTGGTTTACGGGCTCTGACCACAGGCCGCGCCAGAATGCTACAGTGTCAGCCTGATTCGGTGCTGGACCCGTTCCACTTACCATTGGTCGCTCCAATGATTCATAGAGCCTCTTCTGATCACTCTGGAAGAGACGATTCTGGTTGAACCGTGTCGACCTCTCGGTATATCGCCGAATCTGCTTTCTCAAGCAGCGATTCTCTGCTTCAGACTCCGTCAGTTTTTGCGTTATATCCGGCTGGGACAAACTGACATTTGTCCCAGCAAACGCCATCCTGACGGTGCGCACAATTCTTGGCCTGTTGTTGCCTGATCTGAAGCATATCAGTCTGCCGATGAGAGCTCTAGCCTTTGCGATACGTTCCTCAATTCTTCTTCTCCATGCTGGGATAGCGCTACTATTATTATTATTATTATTATTATTATCGACTCAGCGTAGAAGTGAAAACGTAATGTAGAAAGGTTTTGATTATATACCTGACAGGTAAATAATCAAAGTAGGAAGAATTTGCCATAATGGCTTGGTTTTTTTTTTTGGTTTATTTACTTGTGGTATCAGATGTGTCGCACTTTCGACACTGCTTACTGTAATTAATCTGGATATTTAACATATAAGTGAACCATTTGTCATTTAAGAGGTTATGCCGGATTCTACCGTAGGCCAAATGCATTTCTGGGTCTTTCCGCCCTCTCTTACGATCCTTATCTACGGGAAGAAATAGAGTGATAGATAATTTTACGGAGCGTCAACGACAACGATTAACGAAAAGGAGAATTCTTTCATGTTCAAATGTGACACCAACAATTTCAACCTCATTTCAAAATTTAAAACTGCGATTTTTACTAGTACTCAAAGTAAGTATAGTTACTCGTATTAGTTATCGTAGAAATTGTACTGTTAAATTTCTCCGTACAATAATATGAACTGTCTGTTTGTCTCTTAATTATGTTATCATTCAATGACGAGGTACCGAATGGGTCGCATTCATAAATATTTAAATATGGTACACGTTTATCGAAGCCGTCAAGTTGTTCGCGGAAAGCGGCGGGCGTGGCGGCGCGGCTCATTGCAAGCGCTTGTATTGTAGCAAGGCCATTGTTCCCGAGCTCCAGCTCCAGGCCGACGCATATTGCTGTCATCAGTCGCCACAATTTTGTTTCCATGCCTCAAATTCGGTGAACAATACCGTATGAATTTTCTTATCCATTATATCTTTGATAAAAGCTAAAAGATATCAATTATTTTTAACTAAAAGAAATTAATTAACTACACAAGAGGTAAAATTAAAAATTTTGTGCAATCGACTTCAATATAAATAAAATGAGAACATCATCAATGTCGATATGTATTATTAAGGACAAATCAAAAACTACTGGTCATGTCTTGATCAAGCACTAGATTTCACATAAAAGAGAATCATCAAAATCTGTTCACCTAGAAAAAAGGTAACACATAAAAACATAAAGTCGAATTGAGTATCTCCTCCTTTTTAAGTCGGTTAAAAATTAAACGCGCACATCAAAGTAATCGAAGGTACGTATCACTAAAAGCACTGTGAATATTGTCAAAATAAGGGATCGTTATTTATGGCACTTAAAATGCATAATAAATGAATCGAGGCAATAAAAATTATTCATTCACCTCGTCAACTTTCCCTCAACGAAAATACCATGAGCACATATTTAAAATATGATTTAAGATATCTTACTTCACTGCATGATTATCCTTGTGTAATAATGTCTAAATATGACAACTGAAACCTTAAAGTGGTGTGCTCAAGATGTATTTAAATAATTATGCGAACTAGAATAGAACGTTTATTATATTTTGTAATAATATTTATTTCGGTTGAACTAACATTTTTAATTATGTTTCAAAATACTTGTGTACTCTTTTCAACGGCTTGAAGTCCTATTTCACGTTAAACCCTTGATAGATAATAACCATGTAATAAGTAAACATAAAATAATAAATGTATAATAAGTAATAATATTTTATATCTGCGTAACAGTACTGCAATCCTTATGTTGGATTATTAAATAAAGCGATTTAATATTTAAGTCATAAGTGACAACCGACAATGCACCAATACTTCGACTAAAAAATAAAAACTTGCAAAATCACAATGATCACTTACAATCAGGCTACGTTCGCTTATCAACTTTATTCATATAAAAATAGATTTTTTTAACTGGCCTTACGGCTCTGGGTTCTAGCCCTTTTGCGCCTATCATTTCTTTAGTGATCTGCTTTATATATATTTTTTCTTCACAATATGCTGATGCGTCACATTGCGAAGATTTTGGGAGATTTTGATGACAGCTCAACCCAGCGGACAGATGATGACGACAGCCACTCAAGTTCTTAAGGCGCCCAAGCGATCAAATTAACTTGAGGTTTATATCAACATCAAAGCACTTGTTTCGTCGTTTTCTCTAATAGTTCACACGCGTAGACACTTGGTTCACAAAATCGCATCACTTTCACGAATCAAAATCCACTTCAAACCATTATTCAAGCGATAAAACAGGAGCGACAATCCGTCGACGGCCAAGTTCCCATCAAAACTCTATATAAAATAGAGCTTCTAACTTGTTTTTTTTTTTCTTTAAATTTGGCTTATAGTCCTAAAATTGATACATATAAATACTTAACTAGGCATGAGCCAACCATGCTACGGGATACCACAAAATTTAAATCGTTTAATTAATAAATTATTATATAGATACTTGTATACCTACTACTTGTATGTATTATACTCGTTAAACATGATAAAATTCAGGACATATACCTCAATAAAAATGTTTTATAGCGGTAGTGGTCTTTGAACTCAAATAATTGACAATTGTAGCTTACGGATTTATGGATTTATGCAAATCGACAGTTTGTAGTACAGTTTAAACTGTGAGGCACGTTGTGCCCGAGGCGATGTCGGTCATTAGACGCTCCGCAGGACACGCGCTGCCTCCGCCTTATCTTGCTCATCGGTCGTGTCAGCACCACTACATGACACACCCGCTTTCCGCTCCTCGTCATGTGCCGTACGCCTGACCTAATAACACGCGTAGACGCTACCGTCAGTTGTCCATTGATCATTGTATACCTATTTTAAATTCAGATTAGTTGCATATTTATCATTAACAATTATTATTGTTACAATAGTACAGTATTGCATTACAATAGTATATAGCAATTAGTACGATGACTTTATTCATGCAATCATAATAAGTCGGGGAAAAAATTTCTTCGTATTTTATTTGTATAAAATTGAAGAAAAATCTCTTTGGTTGTACTGTTCGTATCTAGCTTGTTTTATTATCAATATATATGACATTAAAAAAATTCAAAATAAAAAGTAAAAACCACTTTCCCGCCTTTTTCAATCGTTTTTCTGTCCGCCACCATGAGTGAATCTAACGACGAAATTCGATACATTCTGAAGTTTTATTACAAAATAGGAAAAATGCAATGCAGTGTCAGAAAGAGTAGCACAAAGTTGGTTCAAGCTTTTTCAGTCCGGTAATTTCTGGTCTGGTCACATTCATACAAATAAAGCCGATGCCATTTTTGAAAATGTAGAGCAAGATCAGCATATTAGTAGTTACGACATAGCCGAGGAATTGAGGATTGACCACAAAACAGTTTTGACGCATTTAAAAAAGGTCTGACTTTACAAAATACCTCGATATTTGGGTACCCACGAGCTCAATAAAAGAAACCTAATGAATCGTGTACTCATTCGTAATTCTCTATTGAAATGTAATGAAACTGAATTATTTTGAAAAGTCATTTGATAACTGGTAATGAAAAGTGGATAACCTAGGACAAGAACGTGCAAAAGGTAGTCAAGCTCCACAGACTGCAGATTAACACGCAATAAGGTGATTTTGTGTCATTGAGCTATTATATACTACGTACTAGAGGCAACACTGCATTCAGCTACTCTGTTCCACTCAACTGCGGTGCTTACACCGCACTTTAACCAGTCACTCGCTAGGCGCTTGTAGAGTTGTCATGTTTTGTGTTGATTTAAAAAAATCTCTTGATAAAAATATGCCGTCGTGTGTACTTAGATATTGTACAAATAATTCAGGAAATGTCAGTAAAAACCAAGGAATTACTTCATCGGTTAATAAGATACTTAATCAATAAAAAAGTATTATAGATTGATAATAAAACAAATTATTATTCCTAAGACGCTATCTCGTGTCATGGAATATAGATTATGAAATTAATATGTTCAGATGCGACATTTCTGTGGGTACTTAAGTATAGGACGAATATATTATTATACACATTTTATTTTTGTAGAAACATATATAAGTTAATATAATTAGGCTAAATTTTTCATGTCTAAATCTGCATATTATTCTTTTATTTTGTTTTTAGGTTTCTACATCAAAGTCAAAGTGGAATAAATTAGTCCATTTTTAACTCTCGCGTGCCCAGCATTTAATGAACGACTATTCTAATTTAAATAAATTTGTTTGTAATTTAAATGTTATGTTAATAAGTTTTGTTAAACATACATTCAGTATGTTATTTTTTTATATTTGACATAGACACCTTTTGAAATATTCAGATAATAATATCATTAAAATGTAATTATGTAATATTAAATAAGCAAATATAATATACAAAATAAATGACAAAGTTTAAATATTGTTCTCGATATAATTTACCCATCTAGCAATACAATCTACTATTACCTACGTGTCATTCTACTTATGTTTATTCTATGATAAAAAAAACCAACCGCGCGAACACAGAGTAGCGCAAATTTTTTGCTTGAGATAGCTGTTCTAGTACGTAAATACACATTACTTCAATGTGTTGTGTGTATGGCGGGATTGGAAGGGCAACGTTTATTATGAGCTTTTACCGCCAGGCAAAACCATCGATTCGGATCTCTACTGCCAATACCTAATGAGACCCAAGCAAGAATTTGAGAAAAAACGTCCGGAATTTATCAACAGAAAAGGAGTGGTCTTTCATCATGATAACTCCAGACTACACACATCTTTGGCCACTCAGCAAAAATTTAAAGAGCTTAGTTGAGAGGTGTCAATGCATCCACTATATAGTCCTGATCTTTCCCCCTCAGATTTTTAACTGTTTCGGTCTCTTCAGTATTATTTGTCTAATGTTAAGTTAACATTAAGAGAGGACTGTCAAACCTACTTGTCGCATTGTTTTGATCAAAAATCCCACAATTTCTACAGCAACGGGATTATTTCACTGCTGCAGATGGCAAGAAGTTATCTAACAAAATGGCACACATAATATATTAAAATTAAATTTAATTAAACTTTGAAAAAAATATCTTGAATTTGTATATAAAATACAAAGAAACTTTTTCCCCGACCTTTTATTATCTGAAAGCTGGCTTTAGATATATAAGAATAGATGTAGATATCTACGGGCCACAGCATCCACTTACTATGAGCTGTGTGCTCGTTTGTTGCCCTTAGCCTTTAAAAAAGTCCATAGATTGCGACGAAATTAGATTTATAATTATCACTGCTCTGGAGCACCTTCCCCCGGCTATTATCCATATCATTAATTGACTCTAGCCAGTATCCTACCCTTTAGAAGAAAGCTTTTAGCCAGCTTAGAAAAAGGATTGTTACGGTTTGTACGACACTTTTTACTTTACAGAATAAAATACCAAATGATATTGGTTTGAAAATTTGTACAAATATCTTTGGTTTAAAATAATGATATTGTTTATAAAATTATTATAATAAAATAAAATTTTCTAAAAACTCTGCCTTAATTAGTTGAATGGTTTAAGTTAAAGTGTTAAGACGAGAGTTTAAAGTTTGCATAGAAAAAATGTATTCTTCTAACTTGCAAGGTGGTAGGGTACCCTCAAAAGAAAATTCGGATAATTGTGAACAATAAATATTTTAAAACTTTAGATAAATCTACCCTCATAGTTGTGATTAGAGACTATGAGACTATGATATTATATTAAGTAAAGAGGCTGTGAAAGGTAATCAATCATCATATTGTCCCATGAATATAGTTAGAATCGATTATGAGAATCCGAAAGATCTCATGGCGGATCGAAAAATGAGTGTAGCGTCAAAATTGCGAGAATTAGGGCGCAAATATAAATTTGTCTATCGAATCGCCAATACTGTGACTATGATGACAAATC